ATGTCCGAGTTCCTCCAAGATGGCTGCTCACCCAGTCCAGGAAGCTGGACCCTCCTAGGTGGCCATGTCACCTTGCACCATTGGTCTGATGGCCTTACCCACCGCGTCCCTTCCTGGTCTGCCCTAGCTCTCCACAACCCCGACCTCCCAGCCCACAGGGCCACACTCTTCAGCCCTGGTCCCAGGACCACACTTCCACTGATCTGGGGCCTTCCATGCCAGCCATGGGCAAGGCTGGTCTGCTCCCCTTGCTCAGACGTCTGGCTGTGCCTCTGTGAACATAGCCAGGAACCATGTCTGCCCTTGGTGGCTGCTCTCAGTCCGCAGAGGCTGATGGCTGGCTGGGTCCCAGCTGCTGCTTGGGGGAGGCAGTCACGCTCAGCACCCCAGAGAGCACACCGGCCAGGCACACGCACTCACGGGCCAGGTCTCCCAAAGACACCTGGGCAGGGATACACAGGACGGACGTGCCAACACAGGTATCTCCCATGACGGCCGGGGACTCTGGGTCCACAGGACAGCCCCACAGACGGGCCCACAGCCCTCTGAGCGTGTGTGTCCTTGGGCACACGTGGGCACAGAGCAGGCTCTGGCTAGAGGACGGTGGCCCGACAGCTGGTGGCTGAGCCTAGAGGTTGGGGTCCTCGTGGCTGCACACGACGCCCGCGTCCTCCTCGTGCCCACAGTTGTGCGTGCCCACCCCAGCATGCGTGCACTCCAGCAGGCTGCGTTCTCTGCCAGAGCAGCGCACATCGTCCAAGAGGATGGGCAGCGTGGGGCCCTCCCCAAATTCGGCACGCTTGACAGCGCGCACGGCGTGGGCAAAGCCCAGCTGGCGGCACACGACAGCGGCGGCCTTTGTGTCCCAGGCGTCATCGCACACGGTGCCCCACTGCCCACCCACGAACACCTCCACACGCCCGTGGCCAGGGCCCAGGCCTGCAGGCCGCACCAGGCGCACAGCGCCGTTGGAGTGTGCGGGGCCTTCCGGGCTGGGCCGCCCCCTCCGCCGCCCGCCACCCCTTCGGCCCCCTGGCCGCCGCGTGGGCCGGGCCGGCCGTGAGGTAGGTGCGGGGGCAGCGACGGTGGGGCGGCTGCGACGCGGTGCCTTGGTGGGCCTGTGCACTGTGGGCCGTGGGGTGCTCGCGGTCCTCCGGATGAACTCTGCGTGAAGGAAGAGCGTGCCATCAGAGGGGTAGCAAACCTCCACATTCCGTCCCACCTCCCACCACCGCCCTCCATCCTGTGCAGGCCAAGCAGACCCCAGGGAAACGTGGTTGTCCTGCCCTTGGGGCCACACAGCATGCTGGCCTGGAGCTGAATGTGGGGTGCTCCTCCAGTCACCCAGCAAATGCTCGCTGACAGCTGTTTGTGCCAGTCTGCTGCTGGGGTGCATGACCCAGCCCTGCCCTCCCAGGGAGGTCCCAGTCTGGTGGGGGAGTCAGACCCTCACACGACAGGAAGCACAGGGTCTGGGCCCGGGGCTTCTAACAGGAAGCCCTTTATAGCTACCACCAGTGGGTTTAAGGGTGAGGAAACAGAGGGCCCCAGACGGGTACAACTTGCTGAGGCTCAAAGACTGCAGGACGGGAACCAGACCCCCTCCGGGGCCCCCGGCTCTCACCCAGACTCCTAAAGCCACTGGGTCTGTGCCCCTCTCAGCGGGCTGACTGGCACTCTCTGGGTACATGGCTGTGGTCCACTCTGCCTGGTGCCCCCGGGGTGGGGCTGGGCAGGTCTGGGGAGGGCAGCTGCCCTGTGTTCCTGCAGGGTGTGGTCTTCAAGCTTCAGCAGGTCAGCCACAGGATAAATCTCACTACTCGACACCCAGCGCCACCCGGCCACATCCCCTGCAGGCAGGGGACCATGCCGTGGCCACTAGGTCAATATTCTATAAACCAGCCTGGGGGCCAAAGGAAGTACTCCAGTGGGCCAAGCAGGCCTGGCACATCCCCAGTTGGGGAGGGTTGAGGCGAGAGGCTGGGCACCTGAGCAGCTGGGCTCAGCCCCGAGGAAGGGGTGCCCTGAGGCAGTGCCCATGGCCTGGTCCCCAGCCGGCAGGACAGCCCTCAGGGGAAGGCTACTTGGTTTCCGTTGGGTAGGGTCCCAGAGGCCCACCAGCCCAAACCCTCATAATGTTCCCCACTTTGGCCAGCCTTTGAAAACAACACGGAGATGGTGTCTGCAAACAGACCTTGATACCAGGCCGAGCCTAAGCCAGGAGCATGATAACAGAGGCAGGGCGTACCTCCCTCCCCCTGGCCCGGGCCCCCACACCCACGCTACCACTAGGGAAGGTCTTCCAGTACTCAGATGGTTCCCTCCCACTTTAGCTCCTGCTGCTCCCACTGCCTCGACTGCCCTTCCTGCGTCCGCCCTCAGCCCCACCCCACGGTGAGCCCTTCCTGTTCTTTCCAGACTCAACATTCAGCCGCTGGCTCCAGGGAGCCCCCACCCTGTCCTGCTGGGGGCCCTGCACTGCTCTATACCCCTTAGCACCAGTACACACGTCTGCATGGAGCTTGCGACACTAAATGATTTCTCTGTCTGTGCCAGCTGGGACAGGGCCTGGTGTGACTTCTGCCTGTGGTCCCAGCATCCAGCGCTGAGCTAGTAACTCAGAGAAGTGCCAGCAGCTGTCGAACGAGTGAATGGAAATCTCGCCAAGCCCCGCAGCCGACTGAAGCCAGAATTCACTTCCCAAAACACTGAGCTCATCCCGACTCCCGCCTTCCTCTCCCTGGGGCACCCCTTCCTTGGGACTGAGCCGCCCCACTTGCCCTGGTGCCCTGTCTCTTGCCTCAACCTTCCCCATACACAGTCCACCAACTGGGGATGTGGTGGGCACACTTGGCCCGCTGGGGTCCTTCCTTGGCTCACAGGCTGGTTTCTGAAATACTGAAAGAGTTGCCAACATTTTCACATTGGGAAATCGTACAAAATGGGGCCCGGAGCAGGGACCCTGTGGTACAGTGATCACTTGGGAGGGCTTTCCTAACCACTGTCTTTGTGACTCCCACCAGATGCAAATGTAAGATGCCCATGGCCCACCACAGGGACCAGACAGTTCGTTAATGATGTTAATAAGGTCCGTGGCACCTTGTGACGGTGGGACCATGCAAGTAAGGTGTATGGAACCCTAATGTGGGGATTGGTCAGTTTTGCCATCTCAATAGGCTTAAAATGAGCCTTGCTAAGGCAGAAAAGGAGCTCTGGTGGTACAGTGCCTAATCTATCTGACTGCTGACCAGAAGGTTGGCGGTTCAAAACCACCAGCCGCTCCGTGGAAGGAAGACTGGGCGATCTACTTCTGTAAAGATTTACTGCCTTGGAAACCCAGTGAGGGTTGCTATGAGTCAGAATCAACTCGATGGCAGTGAGTTTGGTTTTTTGGTTAGAGGCAGAAGTGGGGATCCCATTGCCATCATGAGAGAAGAGGTGGAGGTAGCATGGAGTGTGCCCTTGGACCTGAGATCCCTGTGCTGCACCTCCTTGGCAGAGAGTCGGCAGGGACGACCGACTGAGACAATGGCAGAGGAACCAAGAGACACGAGACAGAGAGGTGGGCTCACCTGGCCCACAGAGCCCGAGAGCCGAGTGCCCCTGGGCAGGAGGCTCGATGGCGGAGTGGGGTGCAGCTATCAGCACAGCTAAAGACCTTTAGAACACTTGCCAGAGCAGGGCAGGGGCCAGGCCGAGAGGCCAAGGGCCAGAGAGGCGGGCCTGAGGGCACAGCACAGGGGAGACCGTCCTGATCGAAGAACTGTATCCTTACGGCACTCCTGAACCTGAATTGTACCCCATAATCATGAGTGTTGTCTGTCAGGTCTGTGTGGCCATTGCAATTAATCATCGAACCTAGGAGAGAAGTACTAAGTGCCGTGGGAGGGATGGCCGGTGTCAGAACTGGTAAAAGGCTGGAGGGTGGTGGCATGTCTGGCCTCATAGGAATCAGCCTTGGGCTACTGATGGTGATTCTGTCTCCCCTTTGTGAAGTTAGGGGGGGTCAGAAGATGCTGCCCCATGCCCTTTTTGCAGACCCCATCTGCCTGTCTCAGGGTCATGCAGCCCCAGTATGCAGCACCCAGGTATGGAGGTGGTGCATGGGTAGCTGGCTGGCTGGGGCTCCTGTTTACGAACCTGCAGGTCTGGCACGCTGGGGTTGGTAACCCCCTACTGACAACCAGGGAGCTCTGGTAGCATAGTGGATAAGGCACTTGACTGCTAACCAGAAGGCTGGCGGTTCAAACCCACCAGCCGCTCCTCGGAAGGAAGATGGGGCAATCTACTTCTGTAGTAATACTGCCTCAGAAACCCAAGGAGGGGTCACTATGAGTCAGGTGTGACTCGACGGTACAAAACAGCAACAACAACAACTGACAACCAGTTTGGCTCCAGTGGAAGGGCCCTCCACCTTGGGCACACACTTTCAGGTCACCCTAGCCACCCTGGGCAGGCATCTGTGGTCTTGCTGGCCCTCAGGCCATGGGGCTTTGCACTGCCCCCCGCCCAAGCTTGTCAAAACAGAAACCTTATAGCAGGTCCAGCCACAAGGCCCCTTCTTCCAGGGCCCTTTGTACCTAGAACTGTTTGCAGTCTCCCTTGTCCTCCAGCCACACACAGATGTCCCTCCCAAGAACTCCGACCATCCCTTGCCTGGCACCGGCTCCCCTTGCTGCGGCCCTTTGAGCCTCCCACTTTGCTGAGACCTGCACACACCCAGAGTGTGGCTGGTCACTGTTCCTCCACTTGGACTGAACGTTTAATGCATATCAGGCCCAGGACCAAGCCCAGGGAAGCCCAGCTAGGAGGATCCTCTCCGGCTGCAGCAGTAGCTTCCATCCCCACAGCATCCCAGGCAGCAGGCACTTACTTTCTTTGGGCACAAATTGGATGAGGCGGCTCTTCACCTTGACCCGGGCAGGCTGGATCTGACACTTGCCTGGTGGTGCCCGTCTGCAGACACACAGAGGCGTGAGTTCCCACCCTGGGAGCCTGAGCACATGCCTGGACCTCCACCCTCTCCCTGTAGTCGACCAGGGAGGGGAAGGACCTGGTGTGTGGGCAGGTGACACAGTGACAAGGGTGACCATTTACAGAGCACCTCGGCCACCGGCAGCACCCCTGCCAGCTCCCTGCCCCGAGAGTTTGAAGATCCCCGGACAGGAACCCTGTGGAACACCTGGCCAGGGGCCTGCGTGGCCTCGGCCTGGTGCTCTGTTGTCGTGGCTCACACCTTCCTGAACCACTTCTCTTTCTGGGGGTGAACTCTGTTCTCTGGATATGACAAAGTGTCGGTCTGTGCCCTGGTCAGCCTGCCCCACAGACTCCTGCGCCTGCAGCCAGACTCCAGGCCCCGGCCCAGTCCCCACCCCCACGGTCCTGAAGAAGGGTCTCTCCACCCCTCTGGTTCCTGGTTGCTTTCTTGTGATGCAGTGCGGGCAGTTCCCCGCCTGGAGGAACCCAGGAGATTTCAGGCCAGCTAAAGAGTTAGGGCCCTCGGGCGGAGCAGAGGGAGGACGGCGGTCCTGGAGGTGGGGTCTGAGAGAATAGAGTGTGAGGAGGTTACCAGGGCTACAGGCTGGGTCTGCTCTGGCATCTGGAGCGGCACTAGCAGTGGATGGAATTCCATTCTGATTAGTCCCTGGCTGTCAGTCTGTGGTTCTCTGCATGGGACCCATGTCTAGCCCCACTCCATGTGGCCCGTGGCTCCGAGGGGGCTCCGTCAGTACCAAGAAAACCCGAAAACCAAACCCGCTGCCATGGAGTGACCCCATGCGCACAGACTGGAACTGTGTTCACACGGGCTTCAAGGCCCCGGGCTTTCGGAGGCAGGTCAGCCGGCCCTCCCCCCAGCCACCTCTGGAGGGACTGACCCCGTCAGCCTTCTGGTCAGCCCCACCCAGGGCCTCCTCGTCAGCACCGAGGGTGAAAGAGCCACGTCCCAAGGTATGGACTCCAGAGAGGGGTGGCAAAAGGCGGAAAGGACGATGCCCAGAGGCCTTCTCCAGAGGCTAAAGGAACGCTACCCAGTGGCGCTTCTCAAACGCTAAGAAAAAGAGGGCTTCCTGATCACTGGGAACCCTGGGCAATGTCCCATACTTCAGACAGAGCCCGTGGGTGCTGCCCCTTAAGGGAATTACGGAAAATATCCTCGTTGTGCAAAAGGGTCAGTGCCTGCTGTTCGGCGCCATCGAGTCAGCCCTGACTCACAGTGACCCCGCGCACAACGGAACGTGACCCTGCCCAGCCGCGTGCCAGTCTCACAATCACTGCTGGGCTCCAGCTGCTGCTGCAGCCACATGTCGTCCGTCTTATAGGGGCTCTTCCTCTTCTCTGCTGACCCTCGACTCCACCAAGCACGACGTCCCTTCCCCAGGGACGGGTTCCTCTGACACCACGTCCACAGTAAGATGAAGTCTTGTCATCCAAGCTTTGTAAGGAGCATTCTGGCCGCACCTCATCCAAGACAAACGTCTCCTTCTGGCAGTCCTGGTATTTTCAGTATTCTTCACCAACACCACGACTCAAACACACCAACTCTTCGGTCTTCCTCATCAGCACCCAGCTCTCACATGCACGTGAGGCGACTGAAAATACCACGGCTTGTGTCAGGTCGCACCTTTGTGTTTTTTTAACTCTCTTTAAAGAGGTCTTTTACAGCGGATTTGCCCAGTGCAGTACATTGTCTGAGTCCCTGACTGCTGCTTCCATGGGCGGTCATTACAGATCTGCGTAAAACGAAATCCCCAACAACTTCAGCCTTTTCTCTGCTGATCATGATGTTGTGCACAGGAGCTGTATCAAAACGTGTCCAAGTTCATGTTTGGACAGCCATAACCATCCCCTCTACCCTGCCATCCTCCAGTTCTGCTTCCTTTGTTTTCCAAATGTCCTCACGGGACCAGTTAGGACTGAAATGTGTCCTGAAATCCTAGCCCCTGTACCTGTCAACATGACTATTTGGAAATGGGGTTTTCTTTTGTAAATGTGCATGACATCACACCTAAATCAGGAGGGCCTAAACCTACTCGCTCCTGAGTTGTTAAAAGGAGCAGAGAAGACACAGAAGACACCTGGGAGGAGACAGACACTGAGGACACCAAGGGTTGCCAGTAGATGCCAGGAACTAGGAAACAGGCTTACGGAAGGACTCGACAGAGCCAATACCCTGATTTGGACTCCAAAACTGGGAAATACATTCCTGTTCCTCAAAGCCACCCCCTTGTGGTATCCTGTTTCAACAAGACTAGGGAACTAAGATAGGACCTCCAAGCCATATGTTGGAGGTACAAAAAAGAAAAAAAAAACCATTTATTCCAAAAGAGAAAAATGAACAAGGGTAAGAAAAGTCCAGGAGGGAGGGCCAGGAGGGAGTTCAGCCAATCCCTGGCTCCTCACACAGCAGCCGCAGTAGAACCCCGCCTCTAACACTGACATAATGAGCCAGCAGGGAGAGGGCCTGAACCACCAGACGCGAGGTGGCTGTGAGGCAGCATCTGGAATGAATCAGGGCTCAATCTATGCGCTATTTCCTTATGTTCTGGAAATAACCTAAGTGTCCTAAATAAGATGGTTACGGTCCAGTGACTCAGCACAAAGTTATGCAGCCATTGAGCTGTTGAGGGTGAGGTTGCAACGTGGAGATGCTTATACAGAATGGGGGTAACATGTGAAGACGCCACTCAGATAAAGAAGGACGGCTTCCAGAAAACGACACCGAGGGATGAAGGGAGAAAGTGCTATGCTTTTCTTGGGAGAAAGTTACATTGATCATTCATATATTTGTGTTTTAAAAGAACAAAATGTGGTAAACAAGGAAAGTCTGAGAAACTGTCACAGACCAGAGAAGGCAAAGGGGACATGATGACTAAACGTGACATGGGTCCTGGATGTAGAACTGTGTCCCTTAGGGACATAGCTGCTGTTCTGGTTCCCTGGTGCCGTTCTAACAGAAGTATCACAAACGGGATCTAGTGAACAAATAGGAGTCTATTCTCTTACAGTTTGGAAGCTTTAAGTCTGAGTTCAAAGTGCCAGGCTCTAGGGGCTGGGTGAGAGCCCCTCAACCTTGGGCTTCAGCTCTGCCTCCTGCTCCTGGGGTTGAAGCTGGCAGCGTTTCTTCATTCAGACAGCTGCTGGCTGCTGAGACTGACAAGCTCAAGGCTGACAAGTAAAACAGGCACAGTCCTGATGTTACCAAACCACACGGCAGGCCATTGATTGAAAGTCCCAAGGTCGGCAGAGCGTGGCAGGCTGCTGAACAATGACTTGGCTACACACAGGGTTCAAGCGTGCCATAAGCTAGAGACCACCCAAAGCTGCTTCTCATATATGGGAAGCAGACCACATCCCTAAAGCAGTTACTCAGCTGCTCGTGGTAGATCCTACCATGGAGTTGATTGCCAGTCTCATCATGGGGAATAACTACCACCAGCTGCCCAGCCACTCCACCAGCCAAGTTGACACACAACATAACCACCACAGGGGCTGATGCTTTGGAAGTACATCACCAGGCCTTTCTGCTGAGGTACCTTTGGGTGGACTCGAACCCCCAACCCTTTGGTTAGTGTTGAGTGCCTAAGTGTTTGTGCCACCTGGAGTCTCTTTCATTAATACGAATGTACCAAGATCAGTTCATTCATTGCAACACATGGGCTGTTATCAGGGAAGACCACTAGACAGAAAAAGGACATCATGTTTGGTAAAGCAGAGAGACAGTAAAAACGGGGGAGCCCTCCATGAGAGGGACTGACCCCACAGCCGCCACAATGGGCCCACGCTCACACCAGAAGCCTCCTTCTGTTCTACACGGAGAAGCCACGAGGCAGAGCTGGCCCAAAGGGAAACCTGAGCAGGCAATCCCAGTGTTCTCTCTACGGGCTCTGCAGCATGTGTGCAACTCTCAACCACTGTAAAATCAAACGTTTATGAAAAGGGGGGCGATAGGTGTTCCAGCTTTTTCGAATTTAGGGTGTCTCAATGTCAGGGGCTCTCATAGGGAGAGTCTCAGGGACTCTCCTGTTGTTGGTGTTGTGGTTAGGTGCCGTCGAGTTGGCTCCAACTCACGTCACCCACACACAGCAGAACGAAAACCCTGCCTGGTCCTGTGCCAGCCTCACGATCCCCGCCGCACCTGAGCCCATCGTTGAAGCCGCTGGGCCACCCGTCTCGTCGAGGGCCTCCCCCTCTTTCAGCGACCCTCCTCTTTCCCAAGCATGACAGCCTTCTCCAGGGAGTGGTCCCTTCTGACCACATGACCCAGTAGGTGAGACGAAGCTGGTCATTCTCGCTTCCAAGGAGCATTCCCACTGCACTTCCTCCAGGACAGATCTGTTAGTCCTTTTAGCAGACCATGGTACTCTTAGCATTCTTCTCCAACACCACAACTCAAAAGCAGCGACTCTTCTTCAGTCTTCCTTATTCATTGTCCAGTTTTCCCATGCATATGCATATGAGGCAATTGAAAATACCATGGTTTGGGTTAGGCGCACCTTAGTCTTCAAAGAGACATCTTTGCTCTTTTAACACTTTAAGGAAGTCTTTTGCAGCAGATTTGCCCAGTGCAGTATGTGGTCTGATATCCTGGCTGCTACTTCCATGAGTGTTGACTGTGGAACCAAGTAATATGAGATCTTTGGCAACTTCAATCTTTTCTCCATGTGCCATGATGCTGCCTATTGGTCCAGTTGTGAGGATTTCCATTTTCTTTATGTTGAGGTATAATCCATACTGCAGACTGTATTCTTTAATCTTTATCAGTAAGTGCTTTAAGTCATCCTCACTTTCAGCAAGCAAGAGTGTGTCATCTGCATATAGCAGGTTGTTAATGAGCCTTCCTCCAATCCTGATGTCATGTGCTTCTTCATATAGTCCACTTCTTGGATTATTTGCTCAGCATACAGATTGAGTAAGTATGATGAAAGGATACAGTCCTGATGCACACCCTTCCTGACTTTAAACCACGCAATACTCCCCTGTTCCGTTCTAATGACAGCCACTTGGTCTATGTACAGGCTCTTCATGAGCCCAATTAAGTGTTCTGGAAGTCAATTCTTCTCAATGTTATAATCTGTTCTGATCCACACAGCCTACTGTCTTTCCATAGTCAATAAAACACAAGTAAACATCTTTCTGGTACTCCTTGCTTTCAGCCAAGATCCATCTGACATCAGCAATGATATCCCTGGTTCCACGTCCTCTATTGAATCCAGCTTGAATTTCTGGAAGTTTCCTGTCAATATACTGCTGCAACCATTTTTAAATTATCTTCAGCAGAATCTTACTTGTGTGTGATACTGATATTGTTCTATAATTTCCATATTCTGTGGGATCACTTTTCTTTTGAATGGGCACAGGTATGGATTTGTTCCAGTCAGCTGGGCAGGTAGCTGTCTGCCAAATTTCTTGGCATAAATGAATGAGTGCCTCCAGCGTGACATCCATTTCTTGAAACATCTCAATGGATATCCTGTCAATTTCTGGACCCTTGTGTTTTTCTTGCCAATTTCTTCAGTGTAGCTTGGACTTTTCCTTCAGTACCATTGGTTCTTGATCATATGCCATCTCCTGAAATAGGTGAACGTTGACCAATTCTTTTTGGTAGAGTGACTGTGTATTCCTTCCATATTCTTTTGATGTTTCCTGTATCATTCAATATTTTGCTCATAGAATCCTTCAATATTGCAACTCAAGGCTTGAATTTTTTCTTCAGCTTCAGAAATGCCGAGCATGTTTTTTCTTTTTGGTTTTCTAACTCCAGATCTTTGCACATTTCATTATAGTAATTGACTTTGTCTTCTCCAGCTGCCCTTTGAAATCTTTTGTTCAAGTCTTTAATCCTGTCATTTCTTCCATTTGCTTTAGATACTCTCCCTTCAAGGGCAAGTTTCAGAGACTCTTCTGACATCCATTTTGGTCTTTTCTCCCTTTCCTGTGTTTTTAACGACTGTTTGCTTTCTTCATATTTGATGTTTTTGATGCCATCCCATAACTCTTCTGGTCTTCGGTCGTTGATATTCAGTGTGTCAAATCTGTTCTTCAGATGATCTCTAAATTCAGGTGGGTTATAATCAAGGTCCTGTTTTGGCTCTTGTGGACTTTTTCTAATTTTCTTCAGGTTCACCTTGAACTTGCATGTGAGCAGTTGCTGGTCTGTTCCACCGTCAGCTCCTGGCTTTGTTTAGACTGAAGACACTGAGCTTCTCCATTGCCTCTCTCCACAGATGTAGTCGATCTGATTCCTGTGTACTCCATCTGGTGAGGTCCACATGTACAGCCACTGTTTATGTTGTTGAAAAAAAGTATTTGCAAAGAATAAGTCACTGTTCTTGCAAAACTCCGTCATGCGATCTCTGGCATCATTTCTATCACCAAGACGATATTTTCCAAGTACTGATGCCACTTCTTTGTTTCCAACTTTTACATTCCAATCACCAGTAATTATCAACACATCTTGACTGCATATTTGGTCAAGTTCAGACTGCACAAGTTGCTAAAAAGCTTCCTATTTCTTCATCTTTGGCTTCAGTGGTTGGTGTGTAAATTTGAATATCAGTAGTATTAACTGGTCTTCCTTGTAGGCGTATGGATATTATCCTGTCACTGACAGCGTTGTGCTTCCGGACAGATCTTGAAATACTCTTTTTGATGATGAATGCCACACACGCCATTCTTCTTCAGTTTGTCATTCCCAGCATAGTAGCTCATATGAGTGTCTGACTTGAAATGGCCCACACCGGTCCATTTCAGCTCACTAATGCCTAGGATATTGATCTTTATGTGTTCCATTTCATTTTTTACAACTTCCCATTTTCCTAGATTCATACGTCATACATTCCATGTTCTGATTATTAATGGATGTCCGCAGCTGTTTCTTCCCCTTTTGAGTCAACCCTTCTCCCCCTTTTTTCAACAACATGGAAGTCCCGAAAGCTTTACTCCAACCTCATCGTTAAGGCCAGCTTTACTCAGAGGAGGCAGTGATTTCCTAGTCGTACTTTGAGTGCCTTCTCACCTGAGGGGCTCATCTTCTGGCACTGAATCAGTTAATGTCTCAGGGCTAAAAAGTTTTACAGTAATGCATCGGACAGTGTTTCACTGCTATTCATAAGGTTTCCAGAGGCCCGTATTTTCAGAAGTAGATGGCCCCTCTTTCTTCCCAGTCTTAGCCTGGACGCTCCACTGAAACCTGTCCACCATGGGTGACCTGCTGGTATGGAAAGACTGGTAGCATAGCCTCCAGCCTCACAGGAACATGTAAGCCACTAGGGTACCACAAACTGACAAAAGAGTGGTGGAGCCCAGGGAAGAGTGGAAAGTTTATCAGGGAAGGCTGCTTGGAGGTGGTGCCACCGAAGAGCAAAGTGGAGGCATATAGCCAAGTGGTAGGGTACAGCTCTGGAGCCAGCTGCCTGGGCTCCAGTGGGCTCTGGCCCTACTGAGACCTGGGCCTGCGATGTCACCTCTCTGTGCTTGCCTCCACCCCTGCTGAGAAGAGTCAGTGTGTTCTACCTGGAGGGAGGAGGAGCAGCACCGAGACCTGAGTTACTGTCTCACACTCAGAAGTGGGGCGAGTGGAGGCAAGAGTGGGGAGGGCTGGAGGCAGAGGAAGAACTGCTTGGGGCTGAGGGCTGAGGAGGGATGTAGGGAAGGGGTTGGCCTAGAAAATGAGCAGAGAGGGGCCTGCAGAGAGGCAGGACACAGGAGAGGGACGAGCAAGACAAGGGAGTTAAGCCTGGACTTGGGGCCGTCTCAGGGGCTGTCGCAGGGGCTCATCCGTGGGCCTGCCCATTCTGAGCATCTGCCCATTCTCGTTACAAATGAGCTCAACTTGGAGACAGGCACCCGGTTTTGACCCTGGACCTACCCCTCACCAGCAGAGGGGGCCTGGCCCACTCTCTTCCCTCTCTGGGTCTCAATTTTCTCATCTGAAAAATGGGGATATGAATAATACCCACCTTCAGAAGTGAAGAGAGGGGAAATGAGGTCATGGAGGTGAGTGTCCCGGCAGACAGCAGGAGCCCACAGGTGAGGGTGGGGACTCACCTGGAGGGGTCGATCACTTTATAGACGACTCCACGTGCAGCTGTGGCACTCGGCACCCCCGTCGACATGAAGTACAGCTCCCCTTTGGACCAGGAACGAGGCACACCTCGTGAGTGAGCATGCTACATGGAACACTACCCCCAGCCCCGGCTCAGAGACCAACCCCAACCTTAGCCAGCCCCGAGGGGGGCCTTCTGGGTCAGTGTGGTGCTCCAGCCCCCAGAACAGAAGCTGAGGCCGAGAAACGGGTCCCAACATGCCTTCCAGGCTGTTCATTCCACGCTCTGAGCTCTCCTCTTGCCTCCTTCCTGGTGGCCCAGCCCCACCCCTACTGCCAGCCTGGGACACATGTCTTCCACCACACACCTCTGGGCACAGGTGAGGATCCTCACCTCTAATAGGGTTGCCATGGGGACTAAGAGAGTACACAGCAAGTGTGCAGTCAGTGTCTGACAATGCTGGTGGTGGCACTTTTCAGGCAAGGGAGGTGCTTGGTAGAAAGAGTGTCCCTGGGAACAGGTCTGTGGGGGTAGGTCTGAGAAACAAAGGCTAGGAGACCCCGGGGAAGCCCACACTGCAGACCCCAGTGGAGGCTGGGTACTGAGAAAGGCAGAAGCCAGTCCCAGGGGCAGGGGAGGGTTTAGGGCCGCACTGAGGCCATGCATCCTGCGGGGGCGGGCATTGGGGTACCCCAGCAAGATAGTCCCTCCTGGATCCTCCACAGGCAGGACCACAACCTTGCTGTGGCCTCAGGCTGGCCTCTCCCTTCAATGGGCCCCTTTCAGGAGCACCCCCCCCCCACTCTGGCTGGGTAGCCTCATCCTGAGGCTCTAGCCTCTGAAGTATCCAGGGCATGCTGCACCGCCGCTCCTCCCACCTGGAATGCCATCCATCTACCCCGTCTGCCTGACCCCGCTCTTCCTGCTCTACAGGCCTCCAGGGGCCATGCGAGTTATAGGGCTGCCCTCCCATAACTGGGAGTGAATAGGGCACCTCATCTGTAAAACAACGGGCTTGGGCCGGGCTGCCTCGGAGGACCCTCCCAGCCCTGCTCTGTGGGAGCTGAGCCCTGCGCCCGGGCCCAGCAGGCGGCCATGCTGCCTCCCTGGTCTATGGAGTGGGCTGTCCCCGAGGACACTGGGCCCAGAGGTCCTTGTCTGCAGTTTGCAAGTGTCTGAAGAACAATTTGGAGAGGCAGAAGCCCAGCCAGGAGCTGGGAGCACTTTGCGGGTGCTGGCCTCCCAGGTGCCGATGTACGTCCTGGGCTGGCTGGCTAACAGGACCTCCACGTGCTGTCATGCTGTCGGGCTCTCAGTGGACCTCAGAGGGCCGAGGAAGGGCCCTCGGGAACTGCGCTTCCAGTCCTGGTTTGGGGGAGGGGTGCCACCTCCTCACCAGATATAAGAAAGAGCTTTCTGGAGCCCGCGGCCTTGGGGATGGCGGCTGCGACTGCCTTTTGGAATTCAGACTCTGACGGGTGTCGGCTCCACAAAGCTTTCCCAGACTTGGGCTTGGGCTCTAGGCACTGGGCCCTGCAGGAGACACCCTGCGAAAGGCCCCCTGGGGTGGCCGTTCCCTAGCAACCCTGTCAAGCACTCGTCATGGTCCACTGAGGGCCCCTCGGCTTTTGTCCAGGGACAATCCCCCGGCCAAGGACAAAAGCGAGAGGCTGGACAGGGATCCAGTCGGCTAGCCCCTCTTCGCCTCCCCTCCCCCATTCCTTGTATGGAACACTCAAGTAGCCTGAATGAGGGACCAACTAACTGGCAAGAAAGCTTGCTTTTCAATGAAACCTGCTTTTCAGTGACAGTGGGATTTCATTTTACGGGGCCCAGTACACTTGCCATGAGGAACCCGGGCCAGTGTAGGTCTCTGGGGAGTCTGTCTTCCCCACTGCTTGCCAGCCTGCCAGCACCCCCACCATCACAAACCCTTGCCTGTTGCAGCGAACGGCCCTGGGTTCTCACCCATGTTAGCATTCCAGTCCCCCCAGCACCCCTGCCCAGGGCAGGGGGCAGGGGAGAGGGAAGGAGAGGATGTGGGGCACCAAGACTCCCATTTTCCAGATGAGGAAAGACAGGGAAGCTTAGAGAGATGCGATCTCACCCAAGGACGCACAGCAGGAAAGTGGCCAAGCGAGGACTGACCCATGGGATGGCTCCTTCCTCAAAGGCAAAGGGCAGGTCTGGGACCCTAGTCCTTCAAGTCACAAGACAGAAGGTCCCCCGGGGCACTTACCAGCCTCATCCTCTGCGAAGGAGATGATGTGTGGGTAGTAGTTGTTGATGAGGCCTGGGAATGCACAGGTCTGGCCATGACCCATGCAGATTTCACTGTAACCCCACTGGCCAGTGCCTGGGTTCTCTCGGAGGGACATCAGACGCCTGCAAAGGAGATGAGCTGGGGGGTCATGACTGGCATCGTGTCCAGGGGAACCCCACTCAACTATCCATCTACCCATCCATTCATTACCCATCCATCCACCTATCCATCCATCCTCCCATCCAACGACCTATCCATCTACCCACCTACTCATTCATGCACCTACCCAACCTTCCATCCACCTATCCAGCCTCCCTCCCACCCATTCATCCACCCACCCATCCATCCATCCACCCATCCACCCATCCATCCACCTACTCATTCATTCACCTACCCAACCTTCCATCCACCTATCCAGCCTCCCTCCCACCCATTCATCCACCCACCCATCCATCCATCCACCCATCCACCCATCCATCCACCTACTCATTCATTCACCTACCCAACCTTCCATCTACCGATCCGCCCTCCCTCTTCTCCATCCATCCACCCAAGCATTCATCCAACCATCCCTCCATTCACCCACTCATCTAGTCATGCAATCAGGACCATATATAATTTGCAAGGCCCGATGCAAACTGGACATGCAGAGCCCCATGTTCAAAACTTATTATTAAGAATTTCATGACATTGAGGGCAGAGCCTTCAGCCAAGCACAGAGCCTTCTGAGTGTGGGGACCGTGTGACAGCGCAGGTTGCACAGCCATGAAGCCAGCCCTGAACACTTCCTGTGTACCAGAGAGACACAGGGTGACAAGACTGGCTTGGCTCCTGCCCCTTCAGCTCGGCCCCAGCCCACTGACCAGCAAGTGCAGTGCTCACAGGAGCGCTGCAGCAGCCAGGGCCCTGCTGACACCTTGATCTGGATGCCGGCCTATAGAGCTTTGTGAAAATAGATGTCTGGTTTTCACCAAGTCTGTGAAAATTTGTTACGGAAATTTCAGGGGTAAAAAGAGAGGCCTCATCTAGACCCATTTTAGAGATGGGAAAGCTGAGTCCCTTTGGCAGAAGTGGAGCAGGAAGAGGGGTCCAGTGCCCAGACACCCTGGTCAGCTAGATCTAGGCTGCAGAGGGACTGGCCACAGACCAATGTGGGGTCAGCAGCCTGTAGGAGGTAGGAATTCCCCTGTCAGGCTCCACTTCCTTATTTCCTCTCCTTGGGAACCCTACTAACTGCCCTCTCCGGGAGAGGTGAGGGCGGGAATAGCACGAGCCACTGTGTATTAAGCAAGGAGCTCTGGGGGCGTAGTGCCTAAGGCATCTGACTGCTAACCAGAAGGCTGGCGGTTCAAACCCACCAGCTACTCCTCTGAAGGAAGAATGGACAATCTACTTCTGTAAAGATTTACTACCTTGGAAAGCCAATGGGGGTCGCTATGAGTCAGAATTGACTCTATGGCAGTGGGTTTGGTTTTGTTATGGTATATTTAGCATAGGAGCTCTGGAGGCGTAGTGCCTAAGGCATTTGACTGCTAACCAGAAGCCTGGCAGTTCAAACCCACCAGCCACCCCTCGGACTGGACAATCCACATGCTAGGGTTATCGCCTCGGAAACCCAATTCTCAGCACTGAAAGTTACTAATTCAATCCTCACAATGACCCTGGGAGGCGTGTACTATTGTCTCCCTTTTGCAGATGAGGGAAGTGAGGCACAGAGAGGTGAAACAACTGATCCAAGGCCACCCAGCTAATAAGTGTGCCAAGATTTGGACCCAGGCCATTGGAGCCTACACATGTAAGCACTGTGACAGGCTTAGGTCCTCCCTAAGCACCAGGCTGGCTCCCCCTCTGTCCTCAGTTTCTGCCTCTGCACAATGGAAGGAGGAGGTGCTTATGAGGCTCCAACAGGCTGGCCTGGGGAAAGAACCTTCTCTCCCACCCCAACCCCAAAAAACCCGTGTAGGGTGTGACTCATCCCCCACCCATAATAAACCCCTCCAGGCCCTCCCGGGGGCCCCAGCGACCAGCCAGGCCCCGGCTCAGCCAGCGGGGTGGCCTCAGGCAGCCACTTCCTCCTGGGCTCAGCTGCTGGCCTGTGCAGGGGGCCCCGGAGCGGTGCTCCCTGGGGCCCTGATGGCAATGGCTGGGAGGGGGGCCTGGGCCGCCCAGTCAGCTGGTTCAGGGACGGGTCCTGGCTCCCTGGGAGTGAGGTGGCCCTGGACCTGTTGAGCGAACTGGTCTCCTCCTTCCCCCCTCATTCTGCCCTCCCTGCCCCCTCAGAACACAGTGAGGCCCGGAACCCACAGCTCTCAGTGGGTCGCCTTTTAAAAAAGCATCCAGTCTTTAAAGTAGTGACCGTGGCTTCAGGGTGTCCTCTGGGCAGACAGCAAACGCTTGAGAAGGCCATCAGGAGAGAGCGAGGAGGTAGGTGTTTCCTAGTGTGACTCCCTGAGGACAACACCTGGCCTCACACCTGGAGAACAACCACATACACACACACGTACACACAGCAGGGCAGGGGACAGGCCCAGGCGCATGGGCCCCACTCACCCGCTCATGAAATCCCCGAAAATGTAGAGACCGTTCAGGTTGGGGTACTCGCAGCCCCGGTACACGTAGCCCCCAGTAACAGACTTGCCCATCTTGTGGGGGTAGGCGAAGATCGGGAGTACATCGTCTGCAGGGGGGTGTTAGGATGAGCCTGCCAGCCTGGGCAAACGGGCCCTGTCCCCACGAAGCAGTCACGGCCAGGGCCCGCAAGGAGGACAGGGACTCACAGCCCAGAAGGTGCTGCCTGGGCTGGAGAGCTTGGTGTGTGGATACAGGAGGGGACACCACGGAGCAGGGCATGGGCGGGGCCAAGAGGAGCCCAGGAGTGTCACTGGGGGATCCTGGGGCCAGGGAGGTCTCATGGGCAAGGTGGTCACTGAGGAAGGTGCTGGTGCCCAGCTGGAGCGGGGGGAGTCTCAGATTGGGGTGCCCGGAGGGTGTGGGGTACAGTCACTGAGGGAGGCACTGGTGCACAGCCCAGGGGATGGGGGACAGGTCTCAGACTGGGGTGCCCAGAGGGAGCAGGATGCAGTCACCAAGGGAGGTATTGGCACATGGCCCAGGGCATGGGGGGCAGATCTCGGATTGGGGTACCAGGAGAGAGTGGGGTGCAGTCACCGAGAGGCTGGCACACAGCCTGTGGGTGGCGGGTCTCAGACTGGGGTGCTCAGAGGGAACAGGGCAGTCACCCAGGGAGAAGTTGGCACACAGCGTGGGGGTGGCAGGCCTTGGATTGGGGTCTACCAGGAGGATGTGGGGTGTAATCACTGAGGGAGGCGTTGGC